AAGCGTCAAGATAGATTAAAGTGTAAAGTTATAAAACAAAGAGGTGCAATATGAAGAAATTACATTTCTGAATATTTTTTTTTATAAGACTAAACGAAGTTTGTTTTGCTGAACAACGAATGCTTTCCGACACACAGTCAGACTTCTATTTAACGAACTTCCATTTTGCGAATTTCTCTATTTTGCGATTTTTTTCGAGGAACAAAGAACATTTTGGAAATTTCTTCGTAAAATAACTTCCAAATAGCGAAGTGAATTTTTCTTTGAGATTCACTTTCCCTATTTCCCAAAATATTTAGGAACATTTCAAACTTGTTAACTCATTTTATAGGGGAAAAGAACGTGAATACATTTTTGGAGCCTATTAACTTTTAGAGAAAGTAGTAAAATCCATTTTTCTTTTTGTTAGCATTTTAGGCAAAAAACTTAGACAAAATTAACGGATTTTATCAGTAGCAATTAAACTTAAGAACGCATGTGATAATGTATATTTAAAATGTATGTAGCATGATAGTGTAACACTAAATAATGTTTTGCTCTATTCTTGCTTTCATGCAAATTTCTTTTATGGTTAAGATTTATAAAATAAATTGTAGATAATAGTTTACAAGATAAAGGTGTATCAATTACTATTTTAATTATGTCTAGTGTTTATGAATTTAAAACCTGTTTTGTGTTGTTCAAGCATTTCAAAATGTAATTTTCTATTTAACGAATTTTCCATATAACGAACTTATTATCGGGATTTAGCGACTTCGTTAAATAGAGGTCCGACTATGTATATATATATGTGTGTGTTTAAGGTATTCTGTTATCCCCACCCTTAATCTATATTTTTAGAATGCAAAAAATGAAGTCTAAAAAGTACGAACATTACTAGAGTTCAAAATAATATTTTGAGCATAGTAAAAACGAAATTGCTATCGAAATCTGGGGGTATGAGTCTCAGTTATACCCTCAAAATTAGTTTGATTGCCGGATGACGCTTGGATATGTTTCAAAATCGTTTTTCAATCCATCTGTTTCCTACAGGAATCAAATAGGTTTTGATGTTTCAAGCCCTATCCTTCTCATTAGTGATTCGTTAGATTTCGATGGCGTTTTTTTTCCCTTGCTTTAATATTAATTTTCGACCCCCTTATGTATGTTCATTGTTGGCTTTAGTTTTGGCAGGATTCTAAAAATGTGTATAAAGAGTAGTAATTACAGAATACCTATTATTATTTGAATGTCAATTTTTTTTAAACAAAACTTACAATCAAATATTAATCAAGTTTAACATTCGATATCGTCTGGAATATATTTTTTCTAGAAAAATGATAATGAAATTCCGGTGCAATTGCCATTTATTTTAACTAAATCCTTCATAAATTAGGTTTACAAAAATTCATTCATCCTAATACATTCCAGATTCTCATTTGCTGCACTTGTCTCAGTGAGCAATTTGTGTACGGTCCCAGCATTGAAAGGGAAGATCCCGGCTAAATGAAAGAACCCTCTCCTGGTTCCTGATAAATTAACTAAATTATCCGGTTGAATAGGCAGTCTGAGCAGCCCTGACGGTCACGTGACAACCAGGACATCCTGGATTGAATACCTTGTGATTAAGGGGCCTGCCAAGGTGATCAAAGAGCAATGGAACGCCTATAGAATCTGACGCAAATTCAGTTATCGTCGAAATCCACGAGCTCGCTTGTTGATTTCAAAAGAGTTTCGCACTCCGAATCTAACTGAAAAGATGTTGTTTATTTTTTTTTATTGATGTTTCTCTACCCGTCTGTCCTACATCTTTATTATTGTTATGATTATTTTTCCCTAAACAAACTTTTATCACGTCGCGAACTGACGTTCTATTCCGCCGGTATACAAATGGCGAAATTTGAATGTGATGACGTCAGGAATTTGATTAGGTTTTACTTGCCTCCGATTCTGTCACATTCGAATATGTTCCCCAGGGTTTTTGTTATTATTTTGCTCGCAAAACTTTTCCAAATTTATGCCATTCATTCGAAGGGCGAAGCTCATGTTCTATAAATGTAATTGAACTAGTGCAGATATGCATTCATAAAGAAGCCATTTCTTTTTCTTCGGTATCTTTTGAATTTGGCGATATTCAGAATTAGATTATATTACTGTCAGAGATTTTCAGTTAGAATTCTTAACACTCCAAATAGAAGTGAAATTATCAAAAGGCTGGTAATCTAATTTGTTCTAATATGTTGGAAATGATTTCCCTTTTTCGGTACTGCTATTTATAATTCGGTTTATTTATGTTATATTCATTTAAACTTTTGTTCAAAAGAATTGATATATATAAATGAATCTATCTTATATTTAACTACTATATGAACTAATAATAACATGAAACAATAAGAGAGAAAATGAAATGAAAACGATTTTCAAGTGGACTAAAAGTGAAAAAGATAGTTTTATTTTTATCACATTTAAAACGTAGGGAGAAATTTCCTGTGGTGATAGCGATTCGCCTTGTGTTTTTCGTTTTAGGAGTGATGTGACAAAAATATCACTTTCACCTTTTTAGTTCATTTAAAAAACGTAGATATTGACATTTTAAATTTATTTCATTATTTTCTTTATTTAGTTTCATGTCCGTCAGTTTATATCAGAAATTGTTCGAAATTTCAGTTCGATATAAAATGATGATAAATTTTGTTCGTAATATTAAAGAAACAAGGCATCAATCTTTAATAGAAATTCAAGCACTCTAGATAATCGGATGGTGTTGGGTTCTTACCATCATGCTATTACCCAAAAGTTACAATTTTGTTGGTGCTTTTACACCCTAATCTTGTTCCTATAAAAAAAAAGTAGCATCGTTCTGTTAAGGATATTATATATTGTTTTTTATTTTCATGTTTTTGGAGAATATTATAGTATTTTGTGGTATCATTTACAACTGCTTTTTTTTTTCTTCATTCCATTTTTGAAGTCAGGATTATCTTTCCATATTTTCAAAGAAATGTTTGGTTATAGAAAATCCCCAAAGAAACTTTGTTGCGAGATTTATAAATGTTCAGAAATCCCTGATTTGGTAATGAAAGAAAAAAATCCTTTTAGTGCAAAATAAATCTCTTTTGGTGATTTATTTATTTCCCATTTTTGTTTGCTGCCAAAATAACTTTAGCCATCTATGGCAAAAAACTAGTCGTTCAATCGTGCTTCTAGATTTAAAAAAAAAAATTAAAAAATGGCGTACCAAGTCATAAATTTTTTTTTTTATAGTAGAACAAAATATTTAAAATAGAAAAAACAAATATTTAAGCTAGAAATAAAAATCACTGTTAATAAAAATCTACCAGAAAATAAGATAGCAGAATTGAAAAAAAAAATTGGAAAGTGGTTCTTTGGGGGAAAATAATAATACTGTCAGTGTGTTGTTGTTGTCCAACTGATGTATAATTTTGCACGAATCATTTTTTTTTTAAAGACTAAACTTAAAAAAAGAAAAAGGATTCAAAGCCGTGGTCTCTTAGGGGATAAAGTGCTTGCCTCTTAACGAGGTGCCCCGGGTTTGAATCCCAGCGATGGATTGTCGAGGCTAATTGTGGGAGGTTTTCGTGGTTTTCCTCTACATGTAATGCAAATATGGGTTAATTCCATCACTTTAAAAAAGTTGAAAAATAAGGGCCATCCGAGGCAGGTGAAATATTGATTGACGCAAAATTCTACTTATAACGGTCAGGAAATAATTAAAACTTATTTTGTTATCAGGCATGGAGTTAAGTAGAGATTTGAGTGCTCTAGCTAGTCAGAAAAGTTCCAAGTTTTTAAAAATATAAATTTTTTAAAAGCTGTTTTCTTTATTAAAGTTTTAATAAATTATTGTTATTATTATTATTTCTTTTTTGAAGTTTTTCTCTTATATTTTTTGCTGAAATTATGTGATTTTATTTAAAACTACTGTGTTTTAGAAAATTAAAAAGAAAAGAAATCTTTTATGACTTATATAGAATTTTAATAATTTAAGTAAAGAAAAAAAAAACGAATTTTTGGATGAAATTATCTATCTTAAAATAAATGCATTTTTTCGATTGAGTATAGGATTTTCGAATTCATTAAGTTAGTTTCAGAGAAGGAACGAAAAAGTGTCTACAATTTTCAACCGGCTTCTTGGTTGCAATTGAAAAACACATATTTCAGATTGTAGCTACTAAACAAATCTTTAGTAAACCAAATATACATAGCCGTCGAAAGAAGAATGAATAGAATTTTCCTTGCACGATTTGATTTCTAATGATTTTCGTTTTCCTTGTTAAAATGGCACTTTTTAAGTGAAAAGACCTTAACATTCCAATTTATTAGTACTAACTCTTAAATAAGTTACAAATTCAAGCCCAAAAACGTACCTTTTTGGATTTTTTGTATTCGAAAATCCACTTTCTAACGAATTTGGATATTTGATCCAAAACATATGGGTTAGTCAAAATCTGGAAAATTAGGTAAAGCTAGGAGAGATTGTACGCAAAGAAGATGGGGGTAAGGAGTACAGTACGCTCGATGAGATTCCAGGTATTTGTACAAAAGCAGTGCTGTAGCGTTGATCAGTTTTTTTTGTGTGTTTTTTTTAAAAAAAAACTTTTTTAAGCCTACACGAAATATTTTTTTGCTGTTAAAAGTTGTTTTTTTCGTAAAGATTTCGTCTCAGATGTGTGAACACAAGCATATAATTTATGTATGTATATGTCTAGAGCAGTTAACCGCTGTTGGCACCAAACCTCTTGCCTTTTAAAATTTGGATTACGTTTTATCAATTTTATGATGTTTTCATTTAAAGGTAAATAATACATAGAAAATTAAAAATTTGTGTGTTACATACTTTTAAACCAATCCCTTGAACCATTTAGGTAGCAGGTTAGTACGTGAATAATCGACCATTAGATCGTAAGCTGTTCAGGTACACTGTTTTTTGCTACGAAACCCACGATTTACAGTCTGATTAAAGTTAGATCATCGCAAGTCATTTCAAATTTATGACAATCCAATGTTCAACACATTTATTTAATAACTTTTTATTAATTCTTTACAGTTTGAAACAACTTTCTTGTGATTTGATCTCCGTTTTGCCTTTCACCTATAACAATAGCATTTTTCTTGATTTTAAAGTGCATATAATCTCTGAGTAAAGCTAAAATTGTTCACTTAAACAATGCAATGCTTCCAATTTTCCTTCAAGGGACACCTTAAGGTACTATTCACCAGCTCCTAGATTTCAATAGGATGCCTGATTTTTTTCTTCTTTTTTTGTCCATGCAATTAACAAAACAGCATCTATATGTTCAAACCATTTGCTCCAGTTGCATTCTTTTTAATTCAAAGATATTCACTTCGAATTTCTACTTGAAAGTCAAGACTTCAACAATCTTTCGATGCAAAATCCTTTTATCCACCTCAAAGTTTCAAATTTAAATAAACCAGAGTTTGGAGATCTTCTAGATTAATAGTGATAGATAATACTTGTTAAACTTTCATTCGGAGATCTCCGTCTTGGATTTTTTCTTCTTCATGATTTGAACTTCAAAATGGCAGCATTATTGTATTTATTCCAACTCTAGGGCTTCAATTGAATATCATCGGCCGTCAGAGATCGGGCACGATGGAATTGCAATGTTTTGGTTTAAGAATCCGAGAACCGAGAGCTTTCTCAAAGTAATGATAGATTTATCTATTTATTTTATTGCAACAGCCCTTTTTAAACCGTACCATTCGAGCTATAAGTATAAAGTAAATAATCGATTAAAAGTTACGCTGCTTGGAACATATCGCAAAGTAGCCTCTCAATCGGAACCGAACCGATGGTTTTTCTAAAAAATACTTCTTCCACGACGCTGGCGTTCACCTTTCTCACCAGCGAGAGGACCAAGAGGAGTTTTCCAAATCGAACCTTCGAAGGTGGTTGTTTGGTTAGGACGTACTCGTGCAACATAAGCTGAGTCTGATCTTGCAACATTTCCACTTGTACTGGATCTCTCAAACCGCTCGCTTCTGAAAGAGGGAAACGAATTAAAAAATGAATTTAGGGAGTATGGAGAAAATACACTATGAATTTATCGAACACTGCAAAAAAAGAGATGATTACAAAAATTCGAGCTGGATTTCAAATCAAATGAAATAGAATATACCCTAGCAACAATCTTATCTTGATCCCAATTTGGTTCGACAAAGATCTTATAAGAACATGAACTGATGGAATAAGATTGGAATGTGGTTAGATTATGCAATATGGACCTAGATTGGGTATGACAACTAAATAAAGATTCTATAATGGCTGAAAAATACAGGCTGAATTACTCAAACCTGTATAGGCTTAAATATGGACTGAGTAATGTCGATACAATTATGGATAAACAGAACAACTTAACTGGGATTAAGAAATGCATAGCAACCCTGTCTGGATATGTTATCGTAAGCCGCTAGGAGGGTTTCCTTATTATGGACTGACTGTTCATGCACGTTTGAACCAGCACTTTTGTTTATGAAAATTATGTTAGTTTTGTGTTTTCTAATAATTATTGTCAAGAATTGCATTTTATAAATCCCGGCTTTAGCTATTTAATCTACGTTTTTGATTTTGCTACTAATTAGTAAATTTTGTCATTTCAATTATTAAATCAATCATTGTTTTTCCTTTCCTGTAGATCTACATTTAAGCTAAGAATATACTTTGTATTAGCTGCCAATGCTACGCAAATCAAATCTAAAACTATCACTTGTGATACGTTTTCTTGCATAAAACAATTGATTCTAACAATGCATTCCATAAGACGTACTATAATAAAGTAAATTCCGCTGCTTGTTTTATTTATTTTCCTTGTACAGATTCATATTTTGCACTAATGAGAAGAAAAAACCTTTTTTTGGAGAAAAAAAAGGTGATAGCACGTTTGTGTTTACATTAAGTGGATATTTTATTCATTTAGCTACTAATATGCTTGAAAAATATAACATTCTTAACAAATTTTGCTGGATACCAAAGTCACAATTGACAATTCTTCCAGATTTTCCAGAAAATCTTACATCAAAATTTGGAATTTGATTTAAAAGGATTTTAATTTGCTTTACATATACATAATTTAAATAGTTTAGTAAAATACGTGATAATTATTCTAATGAATGATTTTAAGTAGTGATAAGGAATTTAAAAAAATTATCTTTGTGTTTGCGCTTCAATTTTATTTACTCCACCATTATGAAAAGTTTCGATTAAAAAACCATAAATATTGTCAGTTGTACAAAGTCTTGATAGTCCTAGATAAATACTCAAAGTAAAATATCTGTCATTATTTATTTTGTGAAAAAAGGGTAAAGTTCCAAAAATGAAACGTCGGATTTTAACCGGTTCATTAAATTGCTATATTATATAGTAAACGTTGAATATTCACCTGATCGGAAGAGTACCAAAGCTTTAAGACAAGAAAACTCCGTGTGATCAACGTGTAGAGCCACCAATTGTGACATAACATTTTTCATTTGATGAAGCTGAGTTGCAACTAAACTCTGCTTTTCGGGTGCTATCACATTGACGAATGAAAGAAATCCTGTAAAAATGATTAAAACAATTTCGTAAAAAATTCTTTGACGCAAGTTATGCAACGTAAGTAATATTTTTAAATGTATTATAAGAATTAAAAAAAAAAAGGAAACTCACTCTGGTACTAAGCTAAAACTATAAATTCGTTCTCTTAATATCTAATTACCACGTACCATTAAATATTTTAAATCAAATAGCACAAATGTTCTTATCATTCCTACAAGACTTTTATTGCTGATATCGAAAACTAATCGCAAAAACATCTAAACGGTTTTTTTGTTCCATTTCTAAATTCATACAATAAATCAGCACACTTTAAGATTAAAATACCATTTGCTATAAAGTATGAAGACTTACTACGCAAATTAATGTTCTAAAAATGTTTGTATAGACGATGAACACAAAGCAATAGCTCAACACATATTTTGGAATTAAATCTTTGCTCATTTCTTTTTATAACCGTCGTTGAACAGCCTACCCAATTTTGGATTTACGACTACTGATGTTCAACTCCGTAGCCTTGTAATTTTGGACCCAATCCAGAAGACAAGAAAACTTTTGGATCAGTACCCTCAGTGGTATGATTTGTTATGGGAACATAGAGGACTTTGTTACTCGACAGATTTAACTTGCATCGGTCACCATTTACTGCATGGGGATTCTTCGGCCGGCTGGGATCAAACCCACGACCTCTTGGACGTGTACGCAGTGCCCCACCAAACAGGCTATCCCGGTATATCTGTTGATTGCAATACATTTTTTAAAAAATTCCTTGTTTAAGTTTAAGTAACATATGCCATGAACATTAACTATCATAAATTATCGTATAAAAATATTCGCAATATTATTATAATCAGAAGTATAAAAAATTAAATAGACTAGATAGTCTAGGAACGAAGTCTGTCAAAGACTTGGTATGGTCTAGAAAAAAGACACAGTTGGAGATGTGTTATTATAAACTTAATAATGTTATTATAAACTCATAAACAATTTAGAAACCAAGACTGTAAGAGACTTGGTATAGACTTAATCTAGAAATCAAGACTGTTAGCAGGACCTGATTATCGCCTAGGCCCAATAGGCATATGTCTAGGGTCACAATTTCTGAGGGGCCTCAAAAAGTAGTAAAAGTCTAATGAAAGGTGGACTAGCTTTGTATTGGTTTAAGTATTCAATAAAAAACCGCTACAACAAACAGTATTAAATAAAAATCGGTGACTTTTAGCAAGAATCACTGATTTCAATTGTTTGTGGCCACCAAACTATTTTTATTTTGATATAACATTGTTTTGTTGTTTTATATTTTGCTTTAATTTATAGATACGTAAACTTTATCTTAGAAAAATAATCTTCAATTGTCTGCTTTCAAAATTTCTTAGAATGTTTCTCTTGAATCATTCAGTTCAATAGATTCTTTTTCATTGTTAGGACTACTTTTCAGTAATTTAATTTCAAAATATCTTGTAAGGGGCCCGGAAAATTTGGTGGGCCTTGGGCCTGAATTTGTCTTGATCGGTCCCTGACTGTTAGAAAATTGTACCTTCTTGCAGGGGAAATCCCCACTGGGCTGCACTCAGAACAAAGACATCACACCAGGACTCTTCCAAAAGGATGGCTTGATCTCGAAATCCAAGTTGCAAGAACGATGGAATACCTCTCATCCAGCGTATTGAAAAGAACAACAGCTTTGCAGCAGCTTCGTATATCGTGTCCAGGGGATTGGGTGGAAAGGGACCAAAGAAAGCGGGTGGCAGGCTGTTTGAAGGGCCCATCACCCCACATCGTGGATGATCCATGGCCACATAAGATGCGGTCCTGGAGAGGTTCTCTGGAGATTGCAGACTGCTCCTGAATATGTGGGAGGTGGGCGTTAGGTGGACAGTAGAGGTCGGACTGGTGCGAGGTTGAGGTGGGGGTGTAGAGTTTCTAGAATCGTCACTTGAGATGCAATCTTCGAGACATGATTTTTTGGTTGAGGCTGGACTTTGTGGCTTAAGATCTGTTGTGGAAAGTAAAGGAGAGAAATGAAAACGTTTGACTAAGAAAACAATTCTAGAACAAAAAGATTCTCTAGTAAAACAAAAATTACTTCTCTTTTAAAAAGAGATATTATTAAATTAAATAATAAAAAATAACAAATATTTACAAAAAGCATGAAAGCATTTTTGCATGAAATTATATTTGCATAAACAAATTTTATAACTGCGTGGGGGAAATTTTTCGATTTGATTAAAAAGCTCTCGATATATGGCGAAATACGTAATAAGTAACATTAATATTTAGGAGTTCAAACTTTGGTCCACACTCCTGATCAAACTATTTGGACCATATTTAACAGATTGCGGCTGCCTGCTATATTTATTGTTTAAGAAATCAGAATCCGCTGGAAAATAGGTATGTTTATTCACACTGATTTTGAAAATTCAATTATCGTCACTAATTAATCATCATAACTATTTGAGGTCATCCCCTCGAACCATTAAGATTGAGTCCTAGGATTCGATTATTAGATCAGAAGTTATTCGGAGTAATTCGTTATTTTTTTCTCTTCGCACTGTACATAACTTCTATTATACATGAAAATATTTTTTTTAAAACAATACTTATTATTATGCGAAATAATGCGATGATTCTAGTAAAGAAACTTTATTAAGTCTAAATATCTGTCAGTAGAACTTTGTAGTAGTTGTATATATATATNATTTTATATATATATATATATATTCTGAGCCGGAAGATGGACTCAATAGTCAACATTAAAATGAGTTCCCTAATAAAGAATACGATTTTTTTCAGATTTTTTAAAGCACTTTCAGTTTTTAAGAATTTGTAATTTGTTTGAAAATATAGTTTTTGAAAACCGCCCGTACGCTCTATATTATTTTATTGGTGACACACAAAAACAGTTAATTGTATGCTATGTAAGAAGTAATTTTCGAAATCGAATATTGTAACCTTAGAAACATGAACACTCTTTCTGTTATAATTTTGTTTATGCAAGTAACAATCATTGTTATTTAATCAGACATGTTGAGGCGATTCTTGCCTTTGAATCTATCAAATCATTTTGTACCCCTACAGATTAAACTACTCGCGATCAAGTGAAAAAAATAATGCCTTAAGAGCAATTATACTTATCTACATAACATTCGTTGTATCGTTCTCCTACTAGTATGCTTGTAGGCTTTCGTGTCAGCTATCATTATCTCCTTTTAATTTGTTGATATTGATTGATAATGCATACTTCACTTCTGTATTTATAGCATAAAGCGATAAGAATTTTTAGTTCAATAGCACGCTACAGTCAGACTAAGACATAAATTATCCTAGAGAATTGTAACTAAACGATGTTCAGTCGTCAAATTAATCCGGGTTATGTTGTTCCGTTTAAAGTGTTATGCATAACAATGACAAAAATTATGCCGCTTTTCATAACTATGATATGTACTTCGCATGTATGAACATTTTACTTTTTTGATGAAGATTTTACCAAGTGGTAGTGAAATTATAATAGGATACATAATTCAACAATTAGTGTCAGAAGTTTTTTTTTTTCTCTTACTTTATAATTTTGATGTGATTAAACGAACATTTACTTATAAAGAATATTTGTGTTTTATTTAAATGTAGTGGCGATCAAAGTCATTTTAAATTAAAGTTGATTGCAATACATTTTNCCACCTGGATTACACTGTGAACATCATTTGCTTGGCGTTAGTTTTAAGTCAAATAATTGGCAAGTAAGAAGCGATAAAGGATAATCCTCTAGCACCCCTCTCCTAAGTTCATCTTAGTCCTTCACCTCTCCGATTTTCCTTCTCCGATTTTGACAATTGAAGATTGATTACTGATTACGTCCACTGAAGAGGGGGGAAAAATCTGTGACGATCGAGCACAGACGCGGGTTGCGATGATTACGGAAAATGAACGAAAAAGTAAAAATAGGATTACAGGACTTCAAATTTCGACTGCTCCACCAGCAGCGTAGTTAGACTCTTTGGGGCTTTGAGGTAATCACTCGAAGTTGGGTCCCCATATAATTTACTGAAATATTCGTCAACCAATTAATCTTTCTCTATTAACCATTGCATGCCAGATTTTGACTAATCACACATCCTCCCCCTTCAATAAACTATTTTGTTACATGTTTTAAAATTCAAAGATTTGTAATTTATATCATATATGTTATTGCTTGAACGTCGATTATCTGTTTCGTAAACATTAATCGACCTGTAATGAATCTAATACCGGATGGGAAATAACTTTACAATAGGAAATGTTGTCCGTAAGAAATCGGGTTGGGGATGAAAATTTTCTAACCAAATTTAAAAAATTGTGAATGAAACAAGAAAATTAAAATAACCTTCATTCTTATAATACTTCTGTAAACTTGTGAACTTTGGGGGTCCCTGGGGATTATCCCGCCTCGTGGTAGATACTCTCCAGCACTGGTCTTTTGATGAATTATTGATGTTTCAACTTTTTTTTTTTTCCTAAAGGTTTTGAAACACGTAGTACGTTCTAAAATATATGTATATCTTCATTTATAGGTAGGCAATCTAATCCTATTGATGAACTTGTTGCTGAACCGCTTTTCTCCTCCGTTATTATTATTATAATTTCAATGAAATTTATTATAATAGCATTTTATCATAAATAAAAATTGATTTATTATTCATAATAAAATAAAATAAAACAGAATAAATTAAATAAAGTAAATTTTTTGTCGCTCGTTTTCAGCATTATTTTTTATTCTTCAGACGCAAAAAATTAGTTTGCAAGTATACTTACAATGATCTGCTATGGCACTCACTTAACTTTCAGTGCGAAGAGCTGGGGTTCGATCCCCATTCTCGCTATAAAACCCGCAAAACTTCAAATAGATGGGTGCCAGCTTTACTAGTACGTAAATACAGCCGGTGCACAATTCTAATCGCATTGCTGTTGGCCGCGAAGTTACGGAGTCTTAAACTTAATGATCTTCCTCCCTGGCATACAACCTGCTGTTATTGAAATGTTTCACTACACTTACCATGCATTGGTCTTGATATTTCGGCTTGAGTCTCTTCGTCATTTCTCCTGAAAGATAACGGCACAGAAACTGGAATGCTTGTGTTGACGTGTGACAACAAGGAGGGTGGAGGCAACCTTCCGACATCTGAAGCGACAGACGTACAGAATGGTCCAACGCCCAGCGAGACATTGTTCAAAATGGTGGATCTCTGAGAACCAGGTCTTAAAGAGTTTCCATAACAATGCGAAGCGTCTGAAGAGCTGGTGACCAACCTTGAACGTCTTCTGGGTTGAGACCGAGAAGCCCTCTCATGTTGAACAGCTGAAAGAAGAGAAAAATTTATTGTAGATATAAGTAGAAAGCACATAGAAGCANATATAAATATATATATATATATACTTTTTTTTTCTTCCTGAATTTAGGAAGCTTTTTGAAATCCTTAAGTAAAATGCTTTATTTTAATCCTATAAAGGAATTCAAGTTTTTAAAAAAAAAATTTTTTTTAAGGATTTAAAGCAGCGGTTCCTGAATCGTGTTCCGTGGCAAACTAAGGTTTCGTTGAAGGATCGCAGGGGTTTCCAGAGTTAGGAATTTTTTTTTATTCTGTGACCTGTTATTTGAAACCTATAATTAAATTTTATCCGTTTAATTGCCCATTATTTATTTAATATTTTCGTTATTTTTATGAAATTATTTCATTAAAATGCTTGTGAAGAAAAGAAGTAAAACTTAAAAAAATTGTTATAACAATATATTGAAAAATTGCAATAATATAGAATATTAATTACATAGAGTGAAAATAACCAAATTCAACAACGAAGAAATATGTCTCCATAATAGCCATTTTCAACATTTATTTTGGTCCTCTGTTTCACCTTATTTCAATGTGAAAACCAAGCTTTAGTATAATCAGTTTGTTGGCGCCTCTATCGGCTTTGGCTTCGTTTATCTTTTCATTTGGCGAAAAGAAGAGCTCTTGTTGTTGTTGTTTTTGATATCGTCGGACGTCTTCAAATGGCGTCATTCATCGTTTGTTAATAAATTGTTAAATAGTTATCGTTTGTACTTAATCAATCGTATATACAGTCCACATATCGACCCCCTCAACACAGTTTATGCACTAAAATCAAATGAGAAGACTAAATGCTGCTTCAGACCTATAAATTTAACTGTCTAACATATAATAAGATTGATATAACAATAACATTAAAAATTTCAGTTTTATTCATTTATTAAATATTTTCAAATTAATTATTAAAATTTCAATCATAAAATATTTCCATTTGTTTATAAACTGATTTATTTTGTCTCAGGGTTCTGCAAAAAAAAAGAAGAAAAAAATCGATCATTTAGGGTTCCATATTCGAAAAAAATTAGGCACCATTGATTTAGCATGTCATTAAGACAAAAGAAGATTTTGTCTAAAGAAGACGAGACAAAAGTAGAAGACCTTAGCACCTAAAATAAAGTATGGTTCTATTTAAATATTTTAACTACACTTTATTTATTTGGCTCTTAAATTTATTTTCCTGTTGGATATAAATAAGTTTGACTTGAACCCCATTACTCTTTTTAAACTAACAGAAGAATAAATAACTTTTATTGCTTAGTTGCTTATAGCTACTATACGTGAATGTTTTGAAAATAAATTATCAGAATAGATTCTTCTTTACTTTGTTTATCATAGAATTTATGATATAACATAATTAAATTTAAAAAAAAGAAACAAAGAAGCGCAAATGAAAAATATAACAGAGACACTTAATTGTAGATTGTTTACACTTTAAATCCACTTCTAAACGTTTCCCATCAGAGTAAATTGGAGGCTCTATGGATTGTTGAACATATGTTTGATTTTTGTTTGATCGATTTTTTATTGTTCTTTTAACGAGCTCTTGATAATAAACTATCATTCCATAGCCCGCAGCACTATAGCTCTCAGAAAAGGACGAATATGAAAGCGTAGCTTTATTAAATTAAGACAAATAGTGCTTGATTGCAGTTAGAAACCTCCAAAGATATTTTTAAAAAGCAACGCAATGAAATTTTACAGGCAATAATTTTAGATACTTCATTTAATTCTATTTGTTTTTAGAATTTTAAATTTTACTTTAATTATTGTTCAAGCTGCCGAAAACCTGTATGGATAGTACTGAAAAGTTCGCTGAAAGTTAAATACGCAAAACAAAGATATTTAGTAAAAATCTGAAAACAAACAAAAGTGCCTACAAAGTGCAAACAAAGTTATCTACCTTTAAAAAAATGGCGATTTCAGAATTGTCTTGGTATAATTTTGTCAGAAATAGATCAATAATTTAAAATACCACGTGGTATATTTCTCAAATTCTAATTAGATGAGAGCTTTATAAATTAAATGTTTTGAAGAATAATGCCGAGTAGAGTAAATAATCTAAGATGTTTTTCATAATCTACTTATGAAAATTGAAAAAATATGATTAAAAACATGTTTTTAATTTCCCCCCCCCCCCCCCTTGTCAGTAGAGTTGTTGAGAGAGAAAAAAAAAATTTGTTTGATGGCAGAATTAACGGTCACATGACGATTGAATATAAAAAAAATAGCGATAAAAATCGCTTTTTTTCGCCGAAAATGCATCCCATGCCACAAAACACGTACTTCCATTTTTTTTCGTATTATTTACGCGAAGAAGTTGCAACCATCCCTGGAAAGTTATTTAAAGCTGCTTTAAAATTTCAGGGGAACTAAAATTTTGGTTATCAATGGTTATTATTTGAGTTTAAGCTAGTTTCATATTGCATTTTTTTTTTTTTTTTAAATGTATGGTTGATAATATTAAAAGTAATCTGATTCATTATGATTGCCCTTATCCCAAATTTATTTTGGAACGATTAAATTTATTTTTGAAATTTTTTATTGACATTGTTAATTTAATTTTATATTGCATAATTGCTTTAAAAACTTGAGCATTTACATTATTACATTATTAAAAACTTAAATATTTACATTATTAGCCTACACTTAAGTTAAAATTGTTAAATACTGTGCTTAAATTTTAAATATAACTACTTGGAGATATCTGGAATATTTTTCTTCATTTTGAATTTGAAATGGAATTTATTTTGAGAAATGCTTTACATTAATAATATAAATAGTTTCTTTGTTTAACTGCTTAGGATTTTTAATTTTTGTTAAAAATACTTTCTAAAGTTAAAAATGGTTTATAAAATACTTAAAAATAAGCCAAAGTTAAAAATACCTTTAACTGGCCACTGACCGGAAACAAATTTTTCTAGTTTTGCCCAATATTGGAATAATATTTAAATTAGGTTCGTAAAGGTTGTAATCAATGAAGTTAAAAAAAAAAAATCACTCGAAATTAAAGTTAAGAAAGTTTTTTCGTTTTAAGATCATGACTCTTAAAGATTCAAAAAATCGAAAGAAAAAATTCATGCATGAAATTATTCATTTATTAACATCCAGCTATTAATTGACTAATTAACATCCAGCAGAGCAAAAAAAAGTACTTTCGTAGTCGGCAGGATTCGAACCTGCGCGGGAAGATCCCAATGGATTTCTAGTCCATCGCCTTAACCACTCGGCCACGACTACACATCTGTAATTTTGTAAAAAGTATACATAAACTAATTTTAATCTTAACTGTAATAGTTTTCGGGGCGTGTTTTTGAATTTTAACAATGACTTAGCTGAAATTTAATCTTTCATTCCTTCTTTCTTTCTCCTATAAGTCTAATAATAGGAATATAACAACAATTTTGCCTTCACAGTTTTCTCTAGTAATTTAATTCTAGTATAAATGCATGTAATAAAGATATCTCTTCTATAGAATAAAATATTCAAGTAGCTGATTTATTTTTTCATTAAATCTTTCTAATTTTAAACTAAAGCAAATAGAAATTTTTCCGTAGTTTAATAGCCAAAGAATTTTTTTAAAAGAAGAGGAAAAAAAAAATATTGATACAATTTTTACAAGAATTATTGTTTTGAATAAGTTTAATTTATAATTTAAAAAAGTTAAAAAATGATTTTAACCGTATAAAGTTAACTATTTAATATGTTTTAACAAAAGGCAACAAATAAAATTTTATATTACTCTAATTATTGTGCTTTAAATTAATAATGATCATTTTCTGTTCAAAATTAAATCATTTTTACGTAGCATAGTCAATTCCCAAATAAACGGTTTAAAGTAGTTACTTATTTTTTTTTTAAAAAAAAAAGGCCGAGCACGACGACACCTTATGTTTCTAATGTCAAAAAATTCGAAAAAATAATAAAATATAAGAAACATTTTGAAGAATTAAATATTTTAGATTTGTTTGTTTTTATCTTAAGAGATGGCAGCACGTTAAGTTTGCAAGAGAATTTTCTCTTGGTGCTAAAATATTGGTGAAAATCTTTAGATAATAATAAATATTTTAATTTCGTAAAATCGAAATAAATAGCGTCTAAAAAGGTTGACCCTGTACGGCTGTACGACGATACTTTTAAATAGCTTTCTAATAATTTCAAATTGCAAAAATGGGTAGCAAAATGATTTCGTTATTAAAAGAATCAGCTCATTCATGTTCGCCGAAATATGAGGAATAATAATTTATAATAATTATGCATTAAATATTTATAATAATATTTATAACATTAAATATTTATAATAATATTTATAATATTAAATATTTATTATAAATCAAATATTTATATCTGGCTTTAAAATTTGTGTTTATGTCTTAACATCGAAATAGCCCTTTTGTTGCAAAGTTAATACTTTCCACTTATGAAATTAGATATGCAAATAAAGAAATAAAACTAAATTGATCAACGCACAGTGGGCCAGCATTCCAAGGTTTCGTGGCCAAAATTAGTATTTCGATAAAATTTGTTTCAAAACTTTTTTATTTTTTTATTTAGGGTTTCTTATGAGCAGATAAATTGAATGCATAGTTGAAATTCTGAAATACGCTAAAAATATCCCCCCNCCCCCCCCCCCCTGAAAAAAAAATGGCGGCTGAAGTATGGCGAGCAAAAATAAAAAAAATAATATAGTGCGTTTAAATATTTAAATATAGCAACGAAAATATAATAATTTGCGTAATTTTACATGAAAAATGAAAAGCAAATTATATTTCCGAAGTAATATTGCAAAATAACTCGAATTAATTACAAAATAACGGAAAAACATTAAAAAAATATAAAATTTTTGCTTTTCGGTATATTTAGTCCACCTTTTCAATACGGGCAAAATGGGGCAGGTTTTTTCGAAAGAAGAAACATCAAAGAAGACAACAACAAAAAAAAAAGTTTAGCTAATTACCTCGTGGAACTTTTT